TTGTGTGTATGTACCATAGTTTGTTTGCAGATGTTTTTTCACAAACTTTCTATAGAATGTTTAATTATCATTTGGGAACAAAATTGTATTAATTGTAGAGACTTTCCTTCTAATATGTTCTATGACAGTAATAAACTCGTTTCAATTTAGCAAATATTGATTCAACCCTTTTGGATAGGATTGACACAGAGAGTTCATGCTTGGGTTTGGAAAACCCATTGTGACAAGTAAATGGGACCACTGTCTTTTGTCCCAGCTTCTCTCCTGGTACCTAACTGCTGTAAGGTAGTCCTTAAGCCCAGGCTCACAGACATACTTTCCTCAATGAGTGGAAATGGGATTAGCCATAGAATTACAGAGAAAATGGTCAGGGTTGCTTCCCAGAAATTCCCTAGAGTGGCGTTGCATGCAGATGCAATAGGAAACTCATAGGGTCAGGGATTTCAGTGAGTAGACTTGCAACTGTTAAGCAACTGAGGGGAGTTAAACTGGAAATATTGGATTTGGGATTTGGGACACCTTCCAAACCAGTTTCTTGGCGGGGCTGTTGAATCGTTTGGATATGTCTCTATATCAAAGTCAGCTTGTATCACAAAATGCAAGAAGTTTGACTGCAAATGAGTAGCTATAATAGGGCAGAAGATGAAACAATGATAGCAAGTCTCTTAAACTTTGGTGCTAAGTGAATCCCCGGTTTCTGTCTTTTGAAGCTTATGAATTTGCCTGTAATTTATAGAAAGTTGTCCACTCTCCTTGTTTGTCAGTTTCAGCATCTTCATTCTAAAGTATTTGGAATAAAAAACTAAGCTGAAGGGAACATGTTTGAGTAGAGGTCAACTTTGAGCATTCACGATTGATATTCATAATTATTTCATGGAACATGCATATACTTTCTTTCAGGCACTGGCTTTCCCGAGAATATGTCTGGTTTTTGATTCCATACATGATCTATGACTACTATGCCATGTACCTCTGTGAATGGTACAAAACCAAGGAAGAGAACCGCAGACACTCCCTCACCACTTTCCAAAACTTCCTAAGTCAAAACCGCCTCATGATCGCACACCACACAGTCATTCTGTTGGCGCTTGTGCCTGTCGCGCAGGTAAGGCCTCCCAGGACCAGCAGCCTCGGTCATTTGTTTTCTCCCATTGAGCTGCATATCTTGACCATACTTAGGAGTCAGGATAGCCCCTCTTTTCTTTCCCTTTCCTACTGCACCCACTCTCCTTGTGCCAGCTGCTTCAGCATTAAACCCCCCATGCAAATAGTGTGCAAAAATCACCATTTGAAATGTTTGTGATCTTCCTTACCAACATCATTCTTTTTTTTTCTCTAAATTTTATTTATTTTGTTGTTGTTGTTGAGAATATACATACACCAATTCAACAGTTTCTACATGTAAAATTGGAAACCCTGGTGGCGTAGTGGTTAAGAGCTACAGCTGCTAACCAAAAGGTCAGCAGTTCGAATCCACCAGGCGCTCTAGGAAACTCTATGGGGCAGTTCTACTCGGAATCAACTTGAAGGCAACGGGTTTGGTTTTTTGGTTTTACATGTAAAATTTAGTGATGTTGATTACATTTGAGTTGTGCAACCAGTCTCACCCTCCTTTTCTGAGTTGTTCCTCCCTCAGTAACATAAATCACTATCCCCTAAGGTTCCTATCTAATCTTTCAAGTTGCTATTGTCAATTTGATCCCATATAGATAGTTTTTAAAAGAGCATAATGCTCAAGGCAGACCTTTTTTTT